TCTACCCCAGGCCCCAAGTGCCTCCCTCACTCAGCTCTTTCCACTCCACTCCACATCCCAACTATCGTGTAGCTCCTTTTCTTCTTCCCATCTTTTCTCCACCAATGGGCCAACACATCCTGCAATACTTCATTCATTCTGAAAGCATCCCCACCCCCAACCCCAACAGACCTGCGCTACTCCTTTTAGGCAAATATCTGATCCAAGAGAAGCCACAGTAGAAAACACCTGCTGGGATAGACATGTTGACTGGACTTTGCTCTGAAATTAAATATATCCAAGCAAGGTTGTGAAAGCTCCCAAATCAGTGAATTCGATCTCCTCGTTCAATTCCATATATAATTCAAGGATTCACAGAGAGACCCAAAAACCTTGTACAAGAAATTCTGCAACGGAAGCTAGCCCTGTGGCTAGAAAACATAAGGAACCCTAAATTCAACGGAAGCCAGGGCTTCTAGAAAGAGCCCACCCCTTCCCACCGCCCCCGCACGAGACGTGCTCAAACATCAAGTCAAGGCGCGGCCATCGTCCACCCGGGCGACTGCGAGGGCGTCCGGACCGGCTCCCCCGTCCACTCCTGCTCGCCCGTGCAGCCAGAGCGGTCTTCCACAGTACAGACCCGCTCCCGTCGCTCTCCCCTACGAGCCATCGCCACCCTCGGAACAGTATCCCAGCCCTTTATCCGTGGCCCTCGCAGCCCTGGTGCACGCCCGCCGCCCACGCCCTGCTGACCTCCCGTGTCACCGCCTCGTCTCACTCGGTGGGTCGCACATGCCCTTGGCTGTTCCCCGGGGGAGCCTCGGAGCCTCTGCACTTGCCGCGTCCCCTGTGTGGACGGCTCCTGCCCGACACACGTGTAAGGCGCCCCCTCATCTGGACTCATGGTGCCTGCTCAACAGTCGCCTCTCAAAGGACTTTTCAAGGCACCCTATCAGACACCACCCCTTCCCCACGATCCCCAACACTGCCCCAGTTCTCTCCATTTCCCCGAACACCAGCTGGCATTATCCATTCATTCGCTGGCTGCCTGCCTCACCGTGGCCAGAATGTAAGCTCCGTGAGCACTCACTGCAGCACCCCGGGGTCGGGAACGGTGCCCAGGACCTGGTAGGTTGCTCAGTAAAGACAAGGCGAAGGAACAAATGAATTTTAAATGAGCACTTTCTATCTGGCAGCCTCTGTACCAGGCAGTGGGGCAGAAAGATGAATGACACGCAGGATCGAGTCTTTTCCCTGGAGGAACTTAATCCCTAACACTGAGGGAGACCACCCACCATGAGTCGAAAGCACCGGGACATGAGCTTGGAGCGTTCCCGGGAAACGAGCCGAGTACTTAAGAGAGGAGGTGGGGACAGACCAGGGCTAGATTACCAAGGAGCCTGAATCCACGCTAAGGAACAGGGCGTTGCTCAGAGCACCCAGCATCCGTCGCTACGCGGGAATGGAAAGAGGTAAAGAACCTGAAGTTAGAAGGACAGATCGTAGTGGCTCTCGGTGTGGAAGGAAAGGAGACGTTGTAGGTTTCTAGGAAGAGCCACTGCCCGCATGCGAGGGGGACGAAGCTGGTGACTCAGCTGGGGACAAGTTGACTTTGTGGCACCTGGGACCGCAGGTCTAAGTCACAGTGCTTTCTCTGGTGGCTAGAGGACCCCTGATGGACTTGGAATTCCACAACCCTGTTCCCTGACCTTCTTCTCTGTCGGGGGCTCATGATGTCCTGACAGAGCTCAGCCACACGTGTCACGCACCGTGGGGGCTACACCTCAGCCACGCATGAGGAGCCCTCACCAAGCCTCTAAGGTTAACATATTCCTTATCATGCTTTCCAAAAACAAGGGATACCTGTTTTGCAGTGAAGTCTGACACAAAGGCAGGGACTCCCCAGGGATTTTTCCTAGTCGGTGGCTTGCAAGTCCAATTCTAAATGGGGAGACAACATTATTTACAATTTTAAAAATCAGAAAGTTCCCAAGGACAGGCTTTATTGCTGCTTTCCACCTTGCAATGTCATGGAAATCCCGTGTGAATGTGTGTGTATATGTGTATGTACATACAAACAGGAGGGGGGCATGTTAAGAAGGAAAGGAGGAAGAAAAATGTAAGTAAAAACCCCAAATTTATGTTTAACAGTAAAAGTACAACCACACACAACAGAAGGACAGACTGTGTCTCAAGGTCAAATTCAGCAGCAAGGTTTCCCAGCGCCTCACACATCTGGCTGAAGGGCTTGTTACTGGAGCATGCTGCCCAAATTTTAGTGATCTCATTTCTCAATTAATAAATCATCCTCCACAGTTTCAGCCTCTGATTCTTCTCTAAGAAGTCAAAGCTACAGAAGCAGGAAGGAACAGGCTGATTCCTTTAAGGGTTCGGAGACTCAAGGTCAAATGCCCTTGGGAATTACTGGCCAAACAGGTTCGACACCTAGGAGAGAGTGAGCTGTGCTCCGAGCGCAAACCTCTGGGGGCGGCTGGGGAGAGAGGCCAAGACGCAGGAGGGACGCACACAGGAAGAGTGAGGTGTTAGCTCTGCTCAAGAGAACATGCCACAACCACAGGATCCACTTCCCTAACAGGCTGGAGCGCGTCAAACCGCTGCACCCTGAGAGCCAAACAACTGGAAACGAGGGGTCTGACTCGACAAAGCACTCTAATCTTCTGGATGAGGGCCCGGAGTTAGTTCATTTACACCCGCTGCGTGGGTGTCAATCTTTCTCTCCCCTCCTACACCTTACACATCTGCTGTACCAAATCCACTGAAGAGAGGCCTCCCCAGGAAGGAGGCGAGGAGCCAGGGGCGTGCCCCAGGAGGAGGACAGGGGCTGGATTATCAAGGCAACAGCGGGCTTCCCAGTCCTGAGGCCCTATCCCGCCAACAGGGAAACCCGAGAGAGAAGACTTCAAAGACTCTTTAGAGCTGGATGTATACTGGACAAAAATTGCTCTTGCGTCTTAATACTTTTTAAATATAACTGGTCCATTCAGTCATCTTTGAAACAAATAAAACATAGTTGTATAGAATAATAGAAACCATCTAGACTAGGAGGCCCTTATTTTATCTGTGAGAAAAACAAAGCTCTTGAGACTTAAGAGGCTGGCCCACACCGCCAGCATGCTGGGCACGGCGGGGGCTGGACCCAGGCAGCCCTGCACCCCTGCACTGGCTTAATTCTGCCCAAGGTATGGATTAATGGATTCACTGCTCACTGCGCCCGCATCATTTCAATACACAAATGACTACAGCACTGGTAATAAGTACCAGTAAAACAGGAAATCATGAAGCTTTAAAGAGAAACTGGTTTGAGGAGAAGTCCCAGCTGAGAGAAACATAAATAGCAACGTGCTTAAAAGAAATAAGCCCTGTTGTGAGGACACTTCCTAGAACAAGAACGTTATTTAAAAATCACAGTTCTAAAAAAATAAAATAAAGTCACAGTTCTGTGACACATTTGAACTTGCACATAGTATGACTGCTATATAATGTTTTATTCTAGGGCAGTAAATTATTTGCTTGCATGCACAAATTTTTATGAAAAAAAAAAACAGAAACAGAAAAGAAACTCGTAATACACAAAACAACAAAAATCAGGAAAAACCCAGGAACATAATTTGAATCGACCCTGCCTTTGTAAAGCAAACTGTTCTGGCATTTTTTTCTAACGGGCTTTTAGAAGGGGGGAACAAAAAGTTTAAAAGTCAAAAGCAGATCTGAAGTTTGGCGGCTGAAAGGATGTAATTAGTAAATTCTGAGCATCTCACATTTCAAGTCTACCCTACCTGGTTAGCCTGTTAAAACTAAGTAAGCAAAGAACCAAAAAGTCTTCTACCAAATCAACGCAGCCCAGACCACAGTTTCTATTTCAAACTTGGCTTTCCTGTGGAATTGCCAAGCCAACCCCAAAAGAAGCACCGTCCACTTAAAACAACTTCCTTTATAAAGACTAACACAGTCCTTCCCAGCACAGAGTCACTGTGCTCATTTCCACTTGTGGATATCGAATTCGCAAGGTAAAAACACACTCCAGGAAAAAACTCATCATTCGGTGGATAAAGTTCGGCGCAGACTCTCAGGCTGCGTCTTTTCTTGATTTAAGAGGATTTCCTTAACGTTCGACCATACTATGGGTCGTGCAATGCAGCCCACTGGACAGAAACCGTCCCCAGCTCCCATGCACAGAAGCTCTAAAGATGGTCCACTAACGGGAAAAACCAGACCCTGAGGAGGACGGCAACGTGGGCGCTTAGTCTGCACCGGGCAACCCAAGCACACAGGTGACCAGAGGGGGTCTGATGGGATTTAGAGCTTGGGACACCAGAGCCACTTTGGATCCACCGGAAACTAAAAGGAGGTGCCCGTTTAAAATCCTGAGAAACCTGAATGCAATCACCATGTTTCTCTAAGTGCCCCACATTCTAGAAGGTGGAAGGCCGTGCGGGTTCATCCACATTCCATCCACCCAAACAAAGTCCTTTCCTGAGGGTGTCATTCTCCCAACAGCCCAAGGCACTCTGGAACCGCTGTTCTGCATTCTGTGTGAAACATCTCTAGATACAGCCTGCTAAGGGTCCCGCTGTCGAACTCTGTGTGGGAAAAGCCACCCGGCCATCAGGCCGACTGTGGACAACTTATTTGGTGGGTTAACGACCCCGAGTTTCGGTAGTTTATCTGTGATTCGATAGCCTGTGCTCTCTGAGGGTTTTCTTCCCTGGGAAAACAGAAGAACATCATCTCAACACGCCCATTCATCACTCTGTATGAACCGTGTACAAAACAGGCAATAAACACAGCATTTTCTTACAGCTACCAAAGCTCTCGCTGGTTCAACAGGGCACGGGGTATAAAATGATGAAGTAAAACCAAAAAAAGGAGCTGGTATGCTTCCATTCCTACTACTTGATAAAGTTCACGTCCAAACAATGACTATTAGATGTGGGCAAGGCAGACACCGCCCCCCCACCTCCTCCCCAGTCCCGGAGTCTGGGAGCTTTTGCTTTACTTACTTGTATTTTAAGAGCAGCCACTGAATTAACCAGAGTCCTACGAGGATCATGCCGTTAATTTCACAGATAGAAAAGGCCCACTGCACCCGGTTAAAATGGTCAAAGAACGTGTCCGGCAGCGGGGGCTGCACCTCCTTGGGAGGCACTCGCTCGTGGACGACCGAGATCATCACTGTGGTGAGGACGAAGCAGGACAGCGCGTACAGGAAGGCCAGGCACGTCTTGCCCCACTCCATGGGGTACTGGGAGCGCTCGGGCTCCGGCATAGGGATCTTGATCATCTCCTTCCTGTAGCCGTTGGGCACCCCGTTGGGCTTGGCCTGCAGGCCGAAGCCGCCCGTGGGGCCGGGGCCAGGGCCGGCCGCACCTGCGCCCAGGTGCCCATTGGCGTGGCCGTTCTTGTGCGCCTCCATGTGCTGTTCCACCTTCAGGGTCTCGATCATGTCCAGGAGCCGCTGCCCGCTGTCGGCCGACACGCGACACAGGGGCGGCCGTGCGAAGTCCTCCCGGGTCAGGCCGATCAGGTCCCGGCCCGTGAAGTGCTCCAGGGGCTCACAGTACTCGGGCATGGCGTGCTCCAGCAGCCAGTCTGCCACCTTCTTGGGGGACCAGTACGTCACCTCCTTCATGGTCCCGGCGGGCGGGGGTCAGCGGTCCCGCGGCGGCGCGCCCATGCTGCCCGGCCTCATGCCGGGGACGTGCGTGGCCAGACGCGCGGGGCCGCTCCCGCTCCCGCAGCCCGCACACCGCTCTCCGGGGCTCTGGGCGCCGGCGCGCACTCACCTCATGGCGCCCTGGCCGTCTTCCTTCTGCGGAGGCAAGAGAGACAGTCAGCAGGGGGCTCCACGCCAGTCCCCGCGGGGCGCACGGCCCCTGTGCGCGTCAGCAGGACGCAGACCCGGAGACCCGGCCCGGGGCGGGTGGCACCGCGGGGCTCCCCGGCTCATCCTCCCCGAAGAATCAGCCGAGGACAGCCCAGACGGATGGGATCACAGCCTCTCCAAAGGCGCGTTGCCTAAGAAGTAACGCAAAAGGGCTTTGGATACGGCTCCGTATGGGTCAGGGGTTCCCTCGGTGCTTACCTGCTTCCTGACATAACCTGAAATCAGGTGGCAAATTTGCCTCACCTACCATTCTATCCAGTGGAGAAAGGTTTTCAAATGTACCTAACACACAGCAACTTAACAGATATCCCAGAGAATCACAGAAATGTCGAGCCTCAGAACCATCTGGTCCAACAATTTGATAGCCTTACATGCAAAAATACCAATGAATCCCTTTTTTTCCCCATGCGGGGCATTTTCTATGTGTCTCCCACCTGTTTTTCTTTAATAAGCATGGATTACTTTTGTAAGAACCACTTAAAACAACAAGAAAAGTTAAGAATAAAAACCCACTTCTGTAACAAGTCATCATGGTTAGTGAAATACGTCGTCAGCAGCAGACAGACCATAATTGGACTCAAGATCTCCCATGGGTAAGCCCCTGGGTGAGCTTCAGATTACTGATCTGTGAAAGGAAGCTTCCCCCTCGCAGGATTGCTGTCAGGACTTTAAAAACCATATGTAAATCTAGCACTAAGAAGGGTCTGTTGACCCCATATCCTCTGTTCTCCTTTCTCAATTTTTCTACGCTATCCAATAGCTACTGTCTACTCCATCTCACTATGAAAACACCCTAAGAGTGGGCTAACTTTTTTGTCCTCAAAAGATGAATGTTGTGGGGCGCCTGGGTGGCTCAGTCATTAACGTCTGCCTTCCACTCAGGTCACAATCCTGGGGTCCTGGGATAGAGCCCTGTGTGGGGCTCCCTGCTCGGCGGGAAGCCTGCTTCTCCCTCTCCCACTCCCTCTGCTTGTGTTCTCTCTCTCGCTGTGTCTCTCTCCGTCAAATAAATAAATAAAAATCTTTAAAAAAAAATGAGTGTTATAACTATAAAAACACCTGCACACCTTAGTGGCTAGAAATTAGTGATGGCAATGTTTCCCAAGTATGCTTTGTAGAATAATCATCTGACAAAATGCTCTGTGCTTTAGAAAAAAAAAAAAAAATCCAGGGGCGCCTGGGTGGCTCAGATGGTTAAGCATCTGCCTTCGGCTCAGGTCATGACCCCAGGGTCCTGGGATCGAGCCCCACCTCGGGCTCCTTGCTCAGTTGGGGGGGGCCTGCTTCTCCCTCTCCCTCTCCCCCTGCTTGTGCTCTCTCTCTCTCTGTGTGTCTCAAATGAATAAATGAAATCTTAAAAAAAAAAAAAAAAGAAATCCAAATTAAGTCTCAGGAACTGCATACTGGAGCCTCTTCCAGAGACAGCAGCATGTATTAGCATGTTAGAAGCTCTAGAAAATCCTCCAGTAGGAAACTGGTTAGTAGGATTTCTCAAATGGACTTCATTGAGTCTGTTGTCCTCCCGGCCACCCCCCCAGTGACCCCTGTCAACTCCCAACGGAGTGCACTGGGCAGTAGTGGCAGAAACAAGATCCAGACTCGGCTCTACCAGACCCCAAATCAGACTGTAGAATGAAGATGGACAGATGTCCACTCCCAATCTCCCCATCCAAATAACAACCAATGAAATGGCAGTAAAGCTCAAGATATCCCAGACCTTCCAAAAAGGTTGGGTGCTCTCTCTTCTTACATCCACACTGTTTTTACACTGCCTTCTGTAACGTGTCTGTCTGCAACGCCCTCCCCCCCCCCGGGCCAAGAGACCAGGAGCGACTGGGGAAGGGCTACTGTTTTGAGCATCCACAGAACTCACAATGCAAGGGCTCACTCGACATCTGCTCATATCTCAAGAAATGTCCCTTACATCTATCAACATGTAGACGGTGGAACAGAAAATAAAATCTACTCGAAATGCCACTGATACTGAAAACTGCTTCAGAACAATTTGGATGGTCAAGGAACATGATAAGGTGGGCATTCTTCAGAAATAGGAAACCGGAGTGGACCTCTGGCCATTTGAGAAGCACTCCAGAGGGGCTTCGGTCGTCGCTAGGACTGCCTGGTGACAAGAAGACACGAGCCAAATGGAAGTCCTGCCAGATGGTCCTGAGGGACAGGGGATCACTTGGTGACACAGCCCGGGCCTCACCCCGAACACTCCTCAGAGGAGTTACGGGATCAGCCAAGGGACCCCTGCCCATCTCAAAGCAGCTAGAAGAGCTTGAAAGAGAAAGTCCTGAAGGAATGTTTAGGCCCAAGGGAACGAACGGGCTTCTCATGGGGGTTCCTCGCTTCCCCCTGGCCAATGTGGGAAGTCTGCCAGGAGAGGAAACCCTGCAGAACCACAGAGACCAGACCGATGCCAACGTGTTATTTCACTCCTGTCTGCTGAGCAAACTGTCAGATAATCTCCTCTTAAGACTTAGTCATCTTTTTTTTTTAAGATTTTATTTATTCATTTGAGACACAGAGAGAGAGAGAGAGAGAGAGAAAGCATGAGCAGGGAGAGAGGCAGAGGGAGAGGGAGAAGCAGGCTCCCCGCTGAGCAGGAAGCCCAGTGTGGGACCCGGTCCCAGGACTCTGAGATCAGACGGTTAACCGACTGAGCCACCCAGGTGCCCATTACATGCATTTTTTTTTTAACTTTTTAAAAAAGATTTTATTTATTTATTTGAGAGAGAGAGAGACAGCGAGGGAGGGAACACAAGCAGGGGGAGCGGGAGAGGGAGAAGCAGGCTCCCCGCTGAGCCAGGAGCCCGATGCGGGGCTCGATCCCAGGACCCCGGGATCATGACCTGAGCCGAAGGCAGATGCCCAACCATCTGAGTCACCCAGGCACCCCAAGACTTAGTCATCTTTACAACAGAAAAACAGCAAACGGCCGGAGACGATATGGAGCCAGCGGACACACGGATGAGGGAACGTGAACTGTACAGAACTGGCCCAGCAGGCAGAAACTCCGAAGACACAGCGAGAAAAACCAGTGGCTCCCACTGTAACTCGGCCAACACAACTGTGCGCTCCCTGAGACAGGCCCGGTGCTTCCCCCTCGTTGGCCTTCTCCATCTCCTCTCCAACAGGCCGCACGTCTTCCCCCAGTGCTTCAGATCCTTCCCAGTCCTGTCCCCACACCACCAGTGTCTGTGACCATGTGCTTTAACAGGCTCGTGTGCCCAGTGCCACGACACGTGCCAGCCACGTGAGGCAGGGAGCCTGCAGCTGGGACCCAACTCGGCCACCTCCTTTCCTGACAGAGTCCTCGAACCCCACCGGGCCTCAGTTTCCTCTGGAAAATAGGATCAGCATCAGCCTTACCCACCTCCCCGCGGGCTGCTCCTGCCAGCAGGCTCCAATCAGGGAAAAGGAATGAAAGCTATTAATTACTCCAAGAAACTGGTCTTGTTCTTCTGGTAACGGCCTGCTTTCTTCCTGACACCCGACTGGGCCCACAGTGATGTTTCATAAATAGGGACTGAAGCTGCCCCTCCCAAATGGCATTTTTAAAAGCCCAATCATTCTGACACACAAGATCAAACAGCCTTCCAGATTTCACGAGAAAACAAACCTTTGTTTTTCAAGCAAGCTTTGAAGCTTGAAAATAAAGGCATAGATGCTATTTTCGTGCAGACGATGCCAAAATCGTGTAAAAGGGGAAAAGGTCATTTATCTGGAAGTAACTGCCTGGCAGCTACTCGGTACCTCAAAGGCTACTGCTCAAAGGCAGGACTTACTCAAGAGACCCCAGGGCCCAGCCGTGGGAGGAGAGGTTGGGAGAGTCACTTCCTTCTGGCCTCACACACTCACTTCAGAACAGAATAGAAGATACCGCAGCATTTCTGAGAAGTGCTTCTACATCTAGACCCAGAAGACTGTAGGTTAGACTGAGCTCAGAAAACTACTACCACCAGCCCCATCCAGAAAAGCCATCCTGAATCCACTACCGGGAGAATGTTCAGAAATAACGCAAAGCTCAAGTCCCCAGGCTTGGTACTCAAGACTCAGAAGTTCTAAGAGAATAAAATCTTGACATTCCCCATTACCAGAATATGAGCAATGGAAGAAGAACTGGAGGGCTCATTCGTCCGCAAGTCTCAGACATAAGTAAAGTGAAGTCCGGTGAGATTGTGAAGTGTCTAAACTCTCTGACATAGCAGAGTTAGTCCTGGAGCTAGACAAATCCACCATGCTTTCCAGGGCCACCCACTGCATATATTCAACAACCTCACAGACGTCAACAAAAGTGAAGGGCAGTCTAAGAGTCTCTAAAAAAAAAAAAAAAGTTATGCAGTCCTATAGCATTAAGGGCAGGAACAACAACACATATTCATCACAGATTCCAAATCCAGCAGGGATTTCTAATGAGACCCCAACTGAGTGAAAAATAATTCTGCTAAAATAATTTGGCTCCAATTCTGAGAACAGATATTTTAAGCCTTAGTATTATAAAAGCCATCAGATAATATGTCACAACACACTATAAACTATTTATAGCTAATTATCAAAGCCAGCTCTCTAGAACCAGAAGAAGTAAGTTAAAGCAATTATCCTGGTAATGAAAGCATTAACCAAACAAAATAACTAAATCATGTATGAGTATGTGCTTATCCCTACTCAGAAAGAATCTAGTATATTACCTTATTGTCTGGCATTGTCTAGAAATAAGACATTGTTGTGTTAACACAAAGCTACCATATC